CCTTCCCAAATCTTGGCTGTGGAGAGAACAAAGTCAAGGATGGCACTCTGAGTCTGGTTCGTAGGTTGGCTAGAAGGCGATGATTTTCCCATGAGTCAACATGGGAAGGAGCGGAATAGTTGACACTTAGTTTTGTCCTGGATGTGTTAAGTTTGAGGAGGTATTTTGGAGTTAACCTTAGAGGCAGTGGAATGTGAAGTCTGAATTGAAGCACTTAAGAAGGGACCCTTTCATGTTTCCATCTCAGGTGTTGGACCATGAGCCTCCTTGGTTGCCCAAGCTAGAAATCAGGGAGTTATCTTTGATACCATCATCTCCCTCACCCTCCACATCCAATCTACCATTGATTTCTGATAATTCCATTTTTATCTCTTTCCAAACTTCCCTTCATCTGACTGCAGCCTTCCTCCTTCACTCACCATATTCCATTCATACCACTCATCTTGCCTTTGTTCACCAGGCTGCTCCCTCCACTCCCCAGCACCCCTCCCCCCACTGCCCACCTCCTGATGACTTTTTAGGCCTAAATATTTTTTCCCTAGGGAAGCCTTTCCTGGCTACTTCCCACTCCATTCACATTTGAAGCCTCATAAATCTAACTTTGTTGGAACATCATGATTTGGTGATTTAGACTTGGCACTGTAGGATAAGTACTGGACTACTACTAAGCGCAAAGTTGTCGGTTCAAACCCATCATCCATTCCTTGGAATCCCCATAAAGGATCGCAGTGTATTGGGACTGACTTGACAGCACTTAACAACGACATATCAGCAAATCAAACATGTAAACGACTTATGTATAAAAACTAGGATTAGTAATTCAAATGCGAAATGGTAACCAGGAAGATTCAGAAGTCCAGGAGAGTGGGCCAGTACCTTTCTTCTCTTAGAAGGCAAGTCTACATAAGAGGTGAGTACATCTGGTAAGTACAACTTCAGACTAAAGGTATTAGCTGGCTCATTACACGGATGTTCCTTGACACCTGGTCTCAGGCCACTTCTCCCAGAGGTGAAGTCCTCCTGCGTAGGTTAGCCTCATCTCCTAAGATTCAGTAGTTATATCAGATGGATATAAATCTATTTTAGGTATATTAACAACTACTAAGTTAATACTTAACAAGGTTAGGATCAGACATGGGAGCCATCTCTCTTCCATGTGACTTTTCCTATCTATGTTCTGACCTACTGTGTCTATTTTACAGTTTAATTTTAAGAGTGTGAAAGCAGACTGTTATGGTACTTGCATTTCATTCTTTAGAAGTCTCTTACTTACTCGTCTTATTTTATTGAGGTTTAGATTCCTTCGGGATCTGCAGTGTTGATTGTTTTAGCATATGGAACTCTGAAACCTCAAAGCTACAAGCTCGTCTAATAACCGGAGGGCTGTCACTGCAGATTCAAGAAGATGGGACCTCTAAAGATTAAAACCTGTTGGAAGGCACTTGTTGGATGAGGGTGAAGGCAGAAAATATCCAAAAGCATAAAACCTTGTTTTGTATTTAATAACCATGATGAAATTCTTGTAAGACTTCATGTAAGAAAGCCCTTTGGAGATTCCTGACCTGCTGTAGAATGCAATTTTCAATGTTGACATACTCCATGCCAATTGCGTGTAGTGGTCAACACACAGCTAGGCGCCTGTAACTGCTACTGAAGCAGTAGTGTCTGCAGTCTTTAGCATAAGAGTCTCAGAGCCTTTTGTCTCTTCACCCTCAGACCAAAGAGGAAATTGAATAAATAAATTTATGATCTTGGAAAATAGGTAGAATAGGGTTTGTTTGTTTTTTTTTGACAGAGGGCATCTTTCTGGGAACTCCACTGCGATCTCCTTTGGTTGCTTGTTTGGGCCGATTTGGAACTCATTATTAAAACTTGTTGAAGTTGCCATTCTTATCGTTTTAAATCTCAAATACATCAACCATGGGTGAAAGGATGTAGAAGACAGATGCTTCAGGTGACAGAGACAAGCACAGAGTGACCGTCTGAGCATGGCTTGTCCCTGAGACCTGGTCTCTGAGGGCTCCTTATGGGGATGTCCACAGCCTGTCTGGGAATGGGTGAGGGAAGCTGAATCCTAGGTTACTGATCTCAAAGTATGGGAATAAGTCCTGTCTGTTTGTAAGTGTTCTTGATCATTCTATCCATAACGATGGATATGATGTTGTTAAGTGCCGTCGAGTTGATTCCCACCCATAGCGACCCTGAATATGGTTTCCAAGGAGCTGCTGGTGAGCTTGAATCACCGACATTACAGTTCAACTGACTTTGCAGTCTCTGATGCATTAGCCCACAGTGCCACACCAGGACTATCCAAGAATGCCCAATATATAAAGATATCCAAGGAGATGGACCCTTAAATCTGAAAACAGGGTTTGTGCAAGCCGGAGTCTCTGGGGAGTGCAAATGGTTAACACACTTGGCTGCCAGACACAGGATGGGAGGTCCGAGTCTCTTCAGAAGCAAGACCCTAGCAATCTACTTCTGAAAATATCAACCACTGAAAATCCAAAAGAGCCAGTTCTAACCTGATGCACATGGGGTTACCATGTGTCAAATCAGCTTGATGGCCACTGGTTTTTGTTCAAGTTTAGATCTGGTTTTATTACCACTTACTAAAAAGGAAGAAGCAACCCATACTTAATGTATGTGATTGTTCACGCACGCACACACACACACACACACACACACACGCATTAATTTTTTTTTTTAAACAAAACATACAGAAAACTGTGATGTGAGTATAATTTATTAGTATACTTACAAAGAATCTTGTTACAAAGACTATGGAAAAAATATAAGTGCTCTCTAAGAAAACCCATAAAATTTTTAACTTTAATACAATACAAAAATAGGACTGAACAAAAATAGTTTGAGAAAATCAATACCATTTAAATTACACAATGTACAAGGCTTCCAAATGTTCCTTTTGAACATCTGTGGGAACACACCATAAGAAGGTACTAGAACTCCCTTCTGAGGAGCGCTGGTTGCTCCCTCACTCTCACACCGTGGGTAGAGTCATCACTCTTGGGTGGTTATTTTTGGTTGTGCTTGCTGTTTTGTTTCTCCAACTCTCATTTCACAAAAATTCCCTAACAAGGGAGACTGGTTCAAACACTGAAAACGGACTTGAATATCCATAAATTACAAATTCATGGCTTCAAGAGGCTTGGACCACAGGGCTTATAAATTGGAACACTATTTTCCTGAGAAAAGGAAGAAGTGAACTTCTCTTTAAAATATTTGTAGGTTTACTTCTTTACTTCTGTTAATCCACACAGCCAGTTGTACCAGAGGGCTTTACAAAGTTTATGGGGAAAATGCCATTATCTTTTAGTTCCATTTCCCCATGAATTTTTTGAAGCCCCTTCGTATACTTGGCACTGAGTACTGCAAACCTAAAACCTTCAAGATTCCAAAGTTCTAGATGCCTAATCCTCCAAATCACTGAATTGAGACCTACGTAAGTAGAAGGTAGTAAGTTTAACGTTGCACCCTCATCTTCAGCACGTTTGCTGATGGAATTTTTATAGAGTTGGTCAAAGCCATCAAAACCTGTTGCTGTTGTGTGGGCTCATAGAAACGCTAGAGGACAGAGCAGAACAGCCTCTCAGGGTTTTTAATGCTGCCATCTTTATGGACACAGACTCCACATCTTTCTCCTGCGGAGTGGCTGGTGAGTTAGAACCTCCTGCCTTTTGGTTAGGAGCTGAGTGTCTAACCACTCACTGGGCTACCAAGGCTCCTTATAGAGTTGATAATCTTAAATAATAACAAAAAGGTCTCAGAATCCTTACCCGTATTTGGTGGTTCAGATGTCATTGGCTTCTGAGACAGAATATTTTGAATGTGCAGAAAATATATTTCTTTTTTTTTTTAGGATAGAAACATAGTAACTTCTGGATTGTGGACCACAAGTTTGGTGGTTCAAATCCACCATATGGTCCTCAGACACCCTGTACAGGGTTGCTATGAGTTGGAATAGACTCGACTGCACAAAACAACTTCAACAATGATAACATCCATGAGCAATATGATCTTAACTTTCAGTCTTTATCACATATAAGATATTCTTAAACCCAGAGCCAATGGCTACAACATACTGAATGTAGCTAATGTCATTGAAGTGTACCTGCTAAAATGATTGAAATGGCAAATGCTTGGTTACATTTTGCCACAGTAAGATAAAAATGTTAAAAATAAAAAAGAGCCAATGGATTTTGGTGACTTGGTTCTATCATTTGTCACCACTCAGAGCGTTTTCTAAATAAGCAACTTTTCTTTAATATCTCAAAACTGGTTAAGCTAGGAGCTTCTCTTATGGAAAGCAACTCAATTCTCTAAGAAAAAGAAAAAAACAAAAACAAACTCCATTTTAAACATTCTTTACAATCGCCAAGAAAAATGGCAATAGGGAATAGTTTCTGCCTTCTGCAACCTGATCAGTCTAAGGAAATCCAATCATCTTCCAAGTTAAGAGAATGCCTGCCCACAATGGACAGTGTTGAGGCTGTTTCTGCCTAAGAACTGAGGAGTGAGCCATCAGCCCGCGCCCTTGAGATGTCTACCACAGCTGTAATTGATTAAAAAGTCAACTGCTGATTGGAAAGGTCTGTGTTGACTTTGATTTTGTGGCTCTGAATTCCATTCACTTAAGGCTTGGTTGGTTTATAGAGCTTAATTTTTAATACTGTTAACATCATCCAGCTGACCAAACACCAAGACTATCAATAAATATCAATAATTAGCTCCAGTCTCACTTGCTCTCTCTGTTGGAGCATTTTGACTTTATAAATACGTTACAGTCTTAGTCGGCTCCAACCCCCCACTGTGGTTTAAAATTCCATAGCCCGAGCATGTCACTGTAGGAGTCTCTTATATGCTTAGGGGTATCCCCTGGAGTCTAAAAGGAAAATGAGCACATAAGAACAGACCGTCAATGAGTTAGTAGGAAGTTGTTACTTAGAAAACAAGAAGAATCAGCTGGTCGGAAATGACTCTTAACTCAGGACCATGACTCCGGACGAATGCTGCTCTTGAAAAGGGCTTTCAACCGTCTTTTTCTTAACTTCCAGGTAGACGATGCGGTTTTGTTCAGGATAAGTGACGTTGCTGAGGGGCATCCTGTAGATGTTGGGGTTTTTCGTGGTCATCAAGAGGAACAATGTCGTAGCTAAACAGAAGGGCCAGGTACAAGCTGGTAGTCCAACCTGGGGAAGACAAGACGTTCCTTTGAGATCCCACTGAGTGGAAAGCTAACCTCACAGTCTTCCCATCCCTGTGTTGTCACTCAACCCGAGGGATGAGTCACGGAGACATCTCTACTTTGCTTATGCCCATGGAGACTGAATCTAAGATCTCAGAAGAGGTAACAGTTGAAATGTTTCCATGCATTTTTTTTGGGTGGACAGCCATGTCTCTAGGTTGTATGTCTGTGATAGTTAAAGTTTTGTGTCCACTTGGCTGGGCCTAGATTCTCAGTGGTTTAGCAGTTAAGGTGCAGTCATCACCTCCATGATGAGATCTAATTGACATGATACAGTCACTCTCCTGGTGGGATCTGATGTGATCAGCTTGGATCTGACATAATTATCCTATGTTGTAAAACCTCAATTCTATGATGTGAATGAGGACAGATGCCATCTACAGGGTTAGATCGTATTTTGAGTCAATCTCTTTTGAGATTAAAAAAAAGAGAGAGAAATGAGCAGAGAGAGAAGAACCCACTACCACCAAGAAATAAAAGCCAGGAGCTGAGTGTGTCTTGTGGACCTGGGATCCCCGCACTGTGAAGCTCCTAGATCCAGGGAAAGATTGTTGCCAACACACATGGAGATCTCCAAAGAATGTTGGGTCTACCCAGGCTGAAAGGAGACTTGGACCCTTTTCCTGAGCTAGTGCTCTCATTTCTGAATTCTAGCCTCCCAAATTTTGAGAGCATCAGTGTCTGCTTGTTAAAGCTTTTCATTTGTGGTATTCTGTTATAGCAGCACTAGATAATGAAGATAGCTGTATGTCTTTCCCTCTTTCTGAAACAATCAGATAATTTGAGCACACACCATGCCCATAAAGCCACCTCTTTGCAGCTAGCCCATGGTGGTTTCTCTCTTCTTGACTTTCACCTAGGCCAAGTCTGGGTTCTTATTTGCTTCATTTCTTTCCATTCTGTCCCCAAGATAGACTCTAAGCTCTTTGACAATAGGTCCTTTTGTGCTGTCATGCAAACCTGAACACATTCCATGCACTTGGTCAAGTCTGGCCTTAAGCATGGAGCCCTTGAGGGGTGATGGAGTACAGTTTTAAAAAGTACAGATGCTTAAACCCTGGTAGCACTATCGGACTAGCACTGGACTGCTAACTGCAGGGTTGGCAGTTCAAACCCACCAGCTGCTCCTCGAAAACACTATGTAGGGTTGGTATGTGTCAGAACGGACTCAATGGCACTTAACAACAAAGCCACCTAGAAGACCCACTGTTTCAGAAACTCCAAGGGTTGGAGTCTGTATTTTTCTCAATCTTCCCATCTGACTTTGTTATTTAGCCTGCCCAGTTCTGATCATGGACAGATATTTTTGAAACTTTAGTGAGATGTGAAGCCCCCACAATGCTCTAATGTACCTCCCCATCATGCTGGTCAGGGGGACTGGACCTCTACCATGAAAATATTGTGTCCCCTCTGCTCTGTCAGACCATGACCACATCAACATGGACTGGATTATCAGAAAGTGGCCATGGTGGTGGCAATGGTGTGTGGGGAAAAGACAAAAGTTGGGGACACAAAGCATGGAACCCAGCTGGGATATCCCACTGAAAGGTGGGAGATTCCGGAACATGGATTCATTGGGCTTCTAGGAGAGAGAAAGGAGAAGGTCAAAGGGCAGGAGGACAGTAGAGCAAAAAAAGAAAAAAGCATGGCAGAAGGAGCTGGCAATGATTTTGCTTACTAAATAATTCAACCAGGACCTAGACCTGGATCCCACTGATGAATGACTATGAAATAGGCAATAAGCACAAATTTTGACTAATTAAAAAAAAAAAAATCACATATTTGAATCTTCAGCTGATTCTGCTTCTCCTTTCCTGATTTCTCAAATACATAGTCCTGGCTTTCTGTTTAAGGAACAAATATCCTGGCTTTTTGTTTAAGAAACAGATATTCTAAAGTCAACTTCCTGATGCTCAAGAATTAGACTATAAAGTTGATAATATGTTATGTAACCTGAGTCTCACTTCTTAAACCAAGCAGTTTGATATTTTCAACATGCCCAGTGATGATGATTTGGACTGAAGTTTACTGGTGCAGCTGGATGATAAGAGAGGACAGACGGGTCAAGAAGAGGGGACAGTCCTGGTTATCTCTCACAGGTGTGGAGGCCATCACTGGCTACCACCCAGCTGTATCGTCAGGAGGCCTTCCCTGTAGCTGAGAGCTCTAAAACCAATCTTACTGATGATAAAGAGAGTAAGGCCAACTCACCACAGCCATCACGTGTACCATGCCGATTCCAAGGTAGGCAGTGAACAGAGCTGCGAACGAAACGAAAGAGCAATGCTTGGTCAATGGATTTTCTCATCACAGGAAAGATTGTCATCCAACATGAACCATCTGGCATGTATATTTCTGCCCTGCACCAGCTAGCCTGGCATGGTGGTTATAAGTACAAGTCAGAAGCTTGTAAGTCAGAAACCCTGGGTTCAAATCCTGGCTCTATCACATAGGAGCTTGGTAACCACCAGCAAGTTATCAGGAGCCCTGATGGAGCAGTGGTTAAGCGCTTGTCTGCTGACCTACACACTGCTTTGAGGGAGAAAGATGTGGCCATCTGCTTCTGTAAAATATATACAGCCTTGGAAACCCTACGGGGAAGTTCTACTCTGCCCTAGAGGGTTGTTCTGAATTAGAATCAGCTCCATAGAAGTCGTTGATTTGGGTTTAACTCCACATTTCCCTATCTGTGGAATGGAGGTAAAATGATTAACTCCCTCACAGGGTGGTTGTTGTTGTTATTAACCTTCTTCTTGCATAGGGTTTCTGAGGCTGTAAATCTTTGTGGGCGCAGAAAGCCTCATCTTTCTCATATAGAGTGAGTGGCCTGTGGGCTCAAACTACCATCCTTGTAGTTCCCAGTCCAGTGTTTATCCTACAGAGCCACTGTGTTCCCTAAGCATAGCTGAATTAAAATGAATGAACATTTATGGATGTTTCTTGAGTTAGCATGGTCTTTATATAATTAATCTCAACGTATCTAGGATTCTGTTTTTAGGTGTCATTGAGTTGGCTTGAACCAATAGTGACCCTGTGTATAACAGACTGAAACCCTGCCTAGTCCTCTCCCATGCGCACGGTTTTTGTTAGACTTCAGTCTGTTGCTGTAGTTAAGCCCACTGCAGCAGCCACTGTGTCAATCCATCTCATTGGGGGGGGTCTTTTTTGTTGACTCTCACTTTACCAAGCATAATGTCCTTTCCCAGAGTCTGGTCCCTTCTGATGACATTTCCAAAGTATGTGCGATGAAGTCTTCCCATCCTTGCTTCTCAAGAGCATTCCGGCTTTACTTCTTTCAACACAGATTTGTTTTTTTTTTTTTTTTGACAGTCCAGGGTACTTTCAATAGTCTTCACCAACACCATAATTGAAATGCATTAATTTTTTCCTCAAAGTGTTCAGCTTTCACGTGCATATGAAGTGGTTGTAAATATCATGGCTTGTGTCAGGCCCATCCTGACCCTTAAAGTGACAGCTTTGCTCTTTAACTTGTGCAGCAGATTTGCCCAATGCAATATGTCACCTGATTTCTTGAGCAGTGCTTCCATGAGCACTGATTGTGGATTCAAGTACAATGAAATCCTTGACAATATCAGTCTTTTCTCTATTTATCATGATGCTATGTATTGGTCCAGTTGTTTTCTTTACACTGAGTTGTAATCTATACTGAAGGCTATATTCTATCATTATAAAAAATCATGGTATAAAAGAATCGAAAAGTAACAGCTAGAGATCAGCAGCAACTGAGCACGAATATGGGATTTCTCTTCATTTCCCAAACACCATTAAGGCTGGCAAAGAGGTCAAGGAATAAGCATGCCATGTTTTTATTTACTTTGAGGAAGCTAGAATCGTAGTGTGGGTGATTTCAGTGTGACTCTCACTGCAGTGTTGCTGTGGAGTGTTTTTCCACTCATAGTGATGCCACGTGACAGAGCAGACCTGCTCCATAGACTTTGCTTGGCTACGATCTTTACAGAGGCAGATCGCTAGGACTTTCACCCATGGAACCACTAACCTTTTGGTTCAGGGAAGCCTTCAGGTATCTCAAGGATAGTGGAAGAGTGACCTTCATATCATGGCCACACAACCACTCAGGGTCCCAGTGCTCCCTGATAGACTAGATGGCTAATCTATCTAAATGACAGACTCAGCATCTAGTATTCCTGGTGAAAATCATGTCACCTAGAAAAGCACTGGACTGCTAACTAAAAGATTGGTGGTTCAAACCTACCAGCCACTCCTTGGAAACACTATACAGTTTCTGAGTTGGAACAGACTCGACAGCACTTAACAACAAAGGAGTCCTGATGTGACGCTGTGGGTTAATGCTCTGGACTGCAAAGTCTGTTTGAACCTCAAGGTCGGCAGTTCAAGCTCACCAATTGCTCCTAGGAAATACTATACAGGGTCGCTATAGGTTGGAACCTACTCGACAACACTTAATAACGCCCTGTATGAAGGTGTTTCTGGGTGGGTTGAATATGAATGGTTAAGCACTCAACTATTAACTGAAAGGTTGGTGGTTCAAACCCACTCAGATGTACCTTAGAAGAAAGACCTAGTGTTCTGTTCCCAAAAGGTCACGGCCCTGAAACTCCCAGAGTACAGCTCAACCTGATATGTCAATCACCCTGATGGCAAAGTGTTGTTTGGCTTTACTCTTGGGTGAGAGACAGGAAATGGCAGGAGGGACCTTGTGAGCATCACATACTTCACTATAGACTTCTATCGTTTTATCAGTATTTTGCCTCCTTAGGAGTTCTGGTAGCATAGTGGTTATGAATCAGGCTATGAGCCGCAAGGTCAGCAGTTCAAAACTACCAGCTGTTTCCCAGGAGAAAGATGAGGCTTTCTGCTCCTGTAAAGATTTACAGCCTCGGAAACCCTATGTAGGGTGGCTCTGAGTCGGAACTGACTCCATGGCACATAACAACAACAACAACTCTGATATTGGTCAGTAGTACTGAATTCTTCCGTATCTGAATTGTGCTGTGCTAGTTAGAAGAGTTGGTCTTTGTAACAAATCACTGAATTTCTCTGAACCCCTGTTTTATCATCTGTCAACTGGAAATCTGAGGACAGGAAGGTGATAGAGCCCAAAGGAGCTCATACATTTCCATGAACAGCAACAGCAGCAGCTGTAAGTCCATATCTGTCACCACGGGACTGAGATACTGCTCTGAACAGATGGCACTCATGGCCCAAGTTTTGCCCCATTTCATCAATTTTTTTTTGCATTTCATCTATTCAACAAATATTCATTCAAATAGTCATTGGCCCTCGGTTAAGAAACACTCAGTGCCTTCCTCTTGAGTACCAGGTCTTCCCCTTCCTCGGAGCACAAGATGCCTTGTTGACATCTCTCTTGTTTTAATGCCTGTTGCACTTACAAGGCATATTGGGGATGCTTTTATGTTTCATACTGTTCTGAGGTGAACTCCAATTATACATTATTTTTGTTTTCATAGTATGAAGGTCAGTAGGTGACAATCCATTAAGACTTGCTGCGTCAGACTGGGAAAATTTGACATCAGAGGTAAATATTCCATATACAACACTCAGTTTGTAGGCAATGAGCCAACGTTATCTACTGAGGGAGAGAAGAGACGGTTGAGTGTTGGAGGGAAGATTGGACAATGTTCCTTTCACCAGGCAGCCAGGTGCAAGTTCTACTATGATAATCCAGCCATTAAAATTGATACAAAATGTGTTTACAGTGTGTACTGATAACAAAGAAATTGAGAAATTCCCATGCCAAGTCATTTCTAGTTTAGAGGCACAGAACAAGTAGCAGTTTCCCAAGTCCTCTTTCTGATATGAAACCTAATAAAAGAACTTTGGAACTAATAAAATAACAGTTCTGAAATAAATGCTACTTGTTGACTTTGGTTGACAATATTGGTCCTTTATTTGGCAATTGAGATTTGCTTAATGAAAGGACTGGAGAGCTGTCTGAAAAATTCATGCCTGAAGACTAACTGTATTCCACGTGGATGAGAAAGGAACTTTCATCCACTGTTGGTGGCAGTGGAAACTGACATGACTGTTTTTGGGAATGCATTTGGCATCGATAAAAATGAAAGCTGACATTCCCTTTGATCTGCCAATTCTGCTTCTAGAAATTCCCTTAGCAGAAAGACTTTACCAAGTACACACGGATACTTGTGCAGAATGCTTCCTGTGGCGCTGTTTGTTACAGTTCCAAACTAGAAGCCATCTAAACTTCTCCAGCAAAGGAGGGCTGTGAAATCAAGTATCTACACCTGGCTACTGTACCATCTTAAACAGCAGAGACTCTCTACCTAGCAACAAACTGCCCATTCTTCCTTCTCTATCGCACTAGGAGACATGTCAGGGTAACCCTGGGCTCCCCTCCCCCTCAAACAGCTCAAACAGCTGATATCTAGGGAAAGGGAAGCTCACGTGACAGGAAGAGGAGACAACTGTGGAAAGCAAACTGCATGAAAGTTGAATGAGTGAATGAATGAATTAACAAGGTGATTAATAAACCCCAAACCAAATCCGTCGGCTGTTGAGTTGATTCCGACTCACAGTGAGCCAATGTTTTATAGCGAAGAACAGCGTTCCATGAGGTTTCTTGGCTGTAAATCTTACTGAAGCAAATGACCAGGCAGTTCTATGGTGGCGTTATCGAGTGGGCTTGAATTGTCAAACTTTCAGTTAAGCAGCTGAATGTGAACTGTTTGTACCAAGCAGGGACCGTTGTGGGTAAACATGGCTCCCCTTGTAATTACCAGAAAGAGCCCTCCTGGCACAGTGGGTTAAACATAGGGCTGCTAACTTCAAGGTTGGCAGTTGAAACCCAGCAGTCACTCTGCAGCAGAACAATGAGGCTGTCTGTTTCAGTAAAAATTTACCGTGTTGGAGACGCTCTATAGGGTCGCTATGAGTTGGAACTGACTGGCTGGCTGTGGGTTTGGTGTCTGGTTGTAATTAATATGGGAAACTCGTTAGCACCTTCAAATTCAAATCACTGGAGTTCTGTTTTCACCTAAGGACCCAAATACTACTATAGGTACCAATCAAGATGAGTTCCTAAGTGTGTCTTTTTGTAGATAAGTCAGAAAGCCTGTAAACAGTTCTTATTTAGGCTTACTTTAGTGCAAAGGGAGTTCTGGTAGCACAGTGGATTAAGTGTTGAGCTACTGATCGAATGGTTCAAACCCACCAGCTGCTCTGCAGGAGAAAGCTGTGGCAGTCAGTGTTTGTAAAGATTTATAGCCTTGGAAATCCTATGGAGCGATTCCCCTCTGACTGATGGGTTAGATGAACTGGAATTGACTTGGCAGCCGTGGGTTTGGTTTTTTAGGGCCCTTTCAGTGACTGAACAGCTAGCTGCAAATGCAGGAAGTGAGGACTCTGTTGAGAGTTGGGGGCCACTGTGCGAATGCTCTGGATTGCAAAGTCAGTTTGAACTGCAAGGTCACGGTTCAAGCTCACCAATTGCTCCTTGGAAACCCTACACGGGGTCACTATGGGTCAGAACTGACTCGATGGCACTTAACAACAACAATATAGTCCTGGTGTGGCACTTTAGGATAATGCACAGGACTGCAAGGTGGGTTTGAGCTGCTCCTTGGAAATCCCATACAGGGTTGTATGAGTCAGAACTGACTGGATGGCACTTAACAACAACAAAGTGCAGGTGTGGTGCTGTCCGATAAACACTGGACTGCTAACTGCAAGGTTGGTGGTTCAAACTCATCAGTTGCTCGTTGGAAACCCTATACCAGGTTACTACAAATTGGAACTGATTAGATAGCGCTTAACAACAACAAAGAGCAAGTAGAAGTTATCTGTATGTCAGACTTACATAACCCAGGACTTCCTGTAAAGGGAAGCAGCGTGGTGCAGTGCGTACCAGGATTACATCACTCACCGTCTGTGGCCTTATTCTTCATAGTTCAGTGGGAGGGATGAAGTACGGATCTCTGGAAGTGCCTCTAGCTCTGATGGTCTGAGTCTGACTAGTATACTAGATATCACAAAGGACTCAAGTGGGTTCTCAAAGTAGGGTCCCTGGAGCAGTACCAGCTGGGAGCGTGTTAGAACCCAATCTCCCTGACTGAATCAGTTATTTCCTTTTGGTTTCTTGGTTCAAACAATTAGTATGAAGAACACAGGAAAAATCAAGTTTCTATCCCCTCAAATCTACATGCTGCAGAGTGCTTAACGACATTTAGTGGTACAATCATAGAACGTTCCTTGTCTATGCAGGAGATGAGGCCGAGCTTTGACTCCTGGGCCAATGCACCGCATGGGTAGCCTCCAGCCATGTGTCAGTGGAGGCTTGCACGTTACTATGATGCTGAACAGACTTGAGAGTTTCTAGACTGAGATGAAGTAGGAAGAAAGGCCTGGCAATGTACTTTCAAAAGTCAGTTGATGAAAACCCCATGGAGCATAGCAGTCCGACCTGTACCTAGTTATGGATGCGATGCAGCACTGGGTAGCATTACTTTCTGTTGTCCACAGGCTCACCATGAGTGGAGCCAATTCCATGGCAACAAACAGCAACAATGGAATGTTTAATATGATTCAACTGACTCTCCTGCCTTCACAATGACCAGGAAGGCAGGCAGAGAAGACTTTACTTTGCTCAGACAGGAAGCCACTTGTCCTGGTTACACACTTAGATAGTGGGGGACCGTAACTAGAATCTCCTAATATCTCACTCACGGCCCTTTATGTTTGTCCTTGATTGTGATCACAGTCATGAGCACATCCTCTCCCCACAGCCCCCCAAGATGCCGAGAATACTCACCACAGGCAAGAGCCAGGAGGTGGGTTTGCCAAGTGAGGGCCATGAACATTCCTCCTATTGCAATGCATGCCAGGGAGCTGTTGAAACCCCAAAGTCCAGCGTAGATTTTTTCAAATGGAGCTGACAGGCTGAATCCTATTGGATGAGACAGGAGGACTCAGAGCTGAGCATTAAAATAGCAGGACATTTTGGAAGGAGCTGGAGAAGGGCTGGGTAGTTTCCCCCTCGGTCCCTTGGAAATAGAGACTCCAAGAAAGTTCCAGAGTATAGAAAACCGACTTAACGGCACTTAACCACAATGTCTGCCTACCTGCTGCTATCCCGAGAAACGATCCGATTGCAGCATGCAGACACATGAGCGGGGAGGACAGCAGAATTGCACACAGGAAAATGCCACCTGTCCATGGGTTGTCACAGCCATATATCTGACCCACACCCACGGGCACAGATTTTAATAACTGCAAAAACAATGAACAAAATGAGGCCACTAAAACAACTGGACAGAAACCCTCAGGACCCGCAGACACAGAACATTTACTTTCAGATTTAGCACAGCTTGCCTTTCAAAATCAACGTTGATCATTGTTAAAACCACTTGTCTCTTTTTAGCTACAGAAAGATCCCAGTCACTCATCTGCTTTAGTACCAGGGGTGGGCACGCACTTAGAACTTCTTCCCTAACACCTTCTCCACTTCTGAGTCTACTGCCTGCAGTACGCTTGGCCTTGATCAACAGAGAACCTACTTTCAATGAAACTAGCCCCTAGGGTTAGTGCTGCAGACAGAATTTGAGGAAAAGCTGAGGCAAAAATTAGTTTTGACCGAGTAAACATTTAAAAGTTTCTTAGAGTCCCAAAGCAACAGAATTTCTGCTTTATCTGTAGAAGGCAAGAAAGTCACCCTAGAGCTGGGAATCGGTTAGACTCTAATGGACTCTACTACTGTGCTCTGGGTGCCTTCCAGAGGCAGGGAGAGGGGAGACAATGATGTGAGCCTTACCTCTAGGGCATTGAGTTCAGACCAGGTGACCACAGGGATGGAGGTTACAGGTGGGAACGATTTGACCGGAAAGAAGGGATTGTAATGTCCTGTGGCTGCCAGGAACAGTGATAATGCCATGTTGAAAGGCAGAGTGAGGACAGGGAGGTCCCATTTGCAGAACACAGAGTTCAATGCACTGGAGAAGATTGGGCTAAAAAACAAAACAGTAGAGGAGAACACCTATGTGACAAGTCATGAGGACAAACCAAATCTCTATACTCTGGAGGGACATTCTTCCATCTACAAATATGCCCCTAGTGTTGGGCAACTTCCCATAAAAAGAAAACCTGGGACAAATCCTTCCAGAAAGAGAATAAGAGGGAAATTTGGACAAAGTCTCACAGGGAGAACACCAAGTGCCAAGAGAGTCAGAGATTGGAATATGATGTTTCAAACCCAGGGTACCAAGGATTGCCAGCAACCAGGGACTACTGGTGTGGCACAGTAGGATAAGCACTGGACTGTGACCCACAAAGTTAGCAGTTCAAACCCACAAGCTGCTCCTCGGAAACCCTATACAGGATTGCTATGGGTTGGAACCGACTTGACGGCACTTAACAAGAACAACAGCCAGACCTGGGAAGTATTCCCTCCTAGAGTTTTTAAGAGTCCCTGACTCTGCCGACACTCTGATTTTGAACTTCTGGTCTCCACAACTGTGAGAGAAGCAATATTTGCTGCTTTAATCACCCAGTTTGTGGGACTTTGTTAAGGCTGCCTGAGGAGACTCAGACAATAGTCCCTGGGCCTCTTTTGTTAACACTCACGTGTTGACCCAATCAAGGAGTTACATTTGAAGATCAGAACTGCAGATGATCTGCGTGTGGAAGGAGGGGTGATGAGCACCAACATCAGGTTTTAATTCTGGTTTTCAGAACAGGTTCAAGATTATCTCCTGAGGAGAAGGTGGTTCTGCCGGTGATCCTCCCCCACACACCTGTCCGGGGCGGTCCCCCCTTCAGACACTGTATATTGATTGTACTTCTCATTTTTATGGATAGTATTATTTTATATTCCAAATATGTTATAGTAAGAAAGAAATGTTTGCTTCTGGGGAAAGGATTTAAAACTGTGTCAACATATAGCAACTAGTTTAAAGGCTTTCTCATATTAGAAAAAGAGAACTGAGTCAAGGCTTTTTTTGGAAGGGGCAGGTGGGAAGGTTTGCTCATGTAGACACAGTAGTTGTCAAAGTGGAGACCCTGACCAACATCACCTGGAGATATGATAGAAATGCGAATTCTCAGGCCTACTGAATACTCAGACCTACTGAATACCCCATCCAGAAAGCTGGGGGTAGTCACTAGCACTCTGCGCTTTACCAAGTCCTCCAGGTAATTGCGATTTCCTCTTCAAGTTTGAGGACTGCTGAAGTAGGAAGTGTTTCTCAACTCTGGCTCTATTTCAGGATTACTTGGGGAACTTTTAAAAAAATCAGAAGAATCCGGTAATACCCTGGGACTGATTACATCAGAATCTTAGTGTGGAGAGAGAGAAGGCTACAAGCTCTTAAGGTGAAAGTGCAGGGGGTGGTGATACAGGGATTTTTGAGACATTCTGGTTTAGGGGAGGATTCCCTGAAAACAGTGTAATGCACTTAGCTGCTAATCAAAAAGTTGTTGTTATTGTTGGTAAATGCTGATTCGGTTCCAACTCATAGCAACCCTGCATAGGGTTTCCTAGGAGTGGCTGGTGAGCTTGAGCTTCTGACCAATTCACCAAGAAGCACCTTGGAAGAAAGGCTTGGCAGTCTGCTTTCAGTCAATGAGAAAACCCTAGTGAACACAGTTCTCCTCTGACACATGTGGGCTCACCATGAGTCAGAAGTGACTCGATGACCACTCGTACTGGTGTTTAAAGGGGATGTGGTAGAAGGATCAGACCTAAGGCCAAATAACTGGTTGTGAGGAAACTTACATCTTTTTAAATGGTTATTTCTGGTCTCAGTAGACATAATTGGACTCTATAGTTTAAAAACCAAAGCATTTTGACAACCAGGCCCAACTTACCAAGTCATGGACACAATAACGATGGGGAATAGCAGCCACCAGTAGTAGTCCCCCTTGTCTGAAAAGACCGCCATGAGAATTCCCACCAGGGTGGCATTGTAGCCGTGGAGCCCCGCGGCTATTGCTGACCTGTGGGCGAGAGGCAGAGCATGGACAGTCTGGGGGGCCACGGCTGGCTTTGCATCAAAATCACACTTGTAACTTCCAGATCGTTCTCATATGAGAAAATAGATTCTATTTGGATATTTACTTTAAGGGTTATGTAGGTCATCATACAAATATGAATAAAAACACAAGTAAACTATACATACATGAAAATACAAATGTGCACATTTAACCCCTTCTCTCCCCTCACACTGCCTCTCCTCCCTTACCCACCCCCAAGAGCATAGCTAAAAAAGACAGAATTCCAAAGTCTAAGGGGATGAAAGAGAAATTAGCAAGACAACACGCTCTACTTCCTTTTAATCTTTTCTGCAGAAAGTTATCATCATTTCTTTATGACATTAAGGGCCTCTGTCTTGAATAGAACTTTTACCTAGAAATGATTTCCTAATTTCTTGGTAAGAGATGAGATTCCTGAGATGTAAATTCACTTTGATAATGTCTCTGGTCCTATAAACATTAATCTTATTTGGCACACACTTTCATCTTCCTGTGCTGTCACTTTGTTTTCTTCAAATGTACATTTCCAGGTTATTACAAAGAAAAACAATTACTTTTCTTTTACTTGGCAAACTTGTTGTGTTGTGAAGTGCCATCAAGTTGGTTCTGATCCATAGCGACCCTGTCTAGTTTCCAAGGAGCAGCTGGTGAGCTTGAACCACCAACCTTGAAGTTCAAAAGGTGATGCAGTCTGGCGCATTAACCTACAGCGCCACACAAAGTTACTCCCATTTAATTATTGTATACTTAACACTTAATTCTTTATGTTCAACTTCATTTCCAAAGGTAAGTTTTCCTATAGGTAAGTTTTTATTCATGGCCAAAATTGTTCCAACTTTATAATTGGGAACTTAAAGTCCTGAGTGAGGAATGGGGGGACTTCTGTAGAATAAGGCACAAGGCTGACGAGCCAGCTCCCCAAGCCAGTGCTCTGAGTTGGCAATGCCTGGTATCATGAAGGGCGCAGGTTGACGTCCAGGAACCCAGGACTCAGCAGACCATGTTGGTGGGAGCTATGGACTTGTGAAGTGTGTGGGTGAGGTGGAATGCACAGCCCTAGGGGAGGATGATGGCAGCCAGGAGGGCTTGCAATGATGAGGCACTACTGGAGTACTTCTTGGCTGTTTTTAACCAGAGGTGGGAGGGTCCAGGGGTAGGAGGATAACAGTGCCACAGGCAAGATGATGTCAGGAGTATTTATCTGCTTAAAAGAAATCTGTACCTCCCTTGGTTAATTGCTAAGGACATGTGGGAGGTGATGCGTTTTGTACTGGTTTAGCCTAGGAAGTGATAAAGGGGTCCCTGGGGGGCACAAATGGTTATGTACTTATTACTAACCAAAAGGGTGTTGGTTCAAACTCACCTAAAGACAGCTGGGAAGACAGGCCTGATCTGCTTCCAAAATGTCACAGTCTTGAAAACCCTGTGGCATTGTACACTGGATGCATAGGGTTGTAGTGAGTCAGAACCTACCCGATGGCAATTAACAGCAACAGAGGAAGTAATAATGCTCTTCAGCAATTGGGAAATATATGATGAGAGTAGAAAACCATGCAAAGGCTTGTCCTTTCAATAAGACAGTGGGAGATTTAATGCTTAGTTGTTCAAGGATAAATGAATGGCACTTTCTCTAGCTTGTGAGATGCCATGATTAAAGAACTAGGATGAAGGGCATTTACTTAAAACCAAAGATGACCACTTTAATAGGTCCTTAAGACCAAGTAATGTACAGAGATTTGAAACTGAACTCATGTAAATGTGACTTGTTTTATAAATGATACCTGATAAAGGAAACGGGGTCAAGTTTCATTGGGGCCTGACAATGAAGGAATATTTAGTATGGTACAATTTTAGCCCACATCCGGAAACTGAAAGACGACTGTTTGTTGGTGTACATTGGAAAAGGGATAAACTTAGGATACAAAACTATCCCCTACAAGGAGCAGATCAGGTGCCTAGGACCCATGGCGGTGGTGGCTGGTGGCCGTGGAGTCGGTTCCGACTCATAGCGACCCTGTACAGGGTTTCCGAGGCTGTAAATCTTTAAATCTTTATGGGAGCAGAATGCCTCATTTTTCTCCCATGGAACAGCTGGCAGTTTCGAACTGCTGACCTTGCAGTTCGTAGCCTGATTTGTAACCATTATGCTACCAGTGCTTAGAGAGGAACATTTGCTAATTTTTTTCTTGACCACTTCCTCAGGCGATTTACAGGAGGAGTTATAAGATCATAGCTGCATAAGGGTCATCTATTGGACCTGACTCCACAGCACATGATCACCACTGCCACCACCGGTGATTATGCATTGATTCTGGACACCTGTGGGAGTCAGCTCATTACCTATTCCACGATAATTCAATTTATGAAGTACAAGCTATTTTGAACTTAACATATATTTTAGAAGATACCTCAAGCTTTCTAAATCAGAATCCAGTAATTCATCTCTATATGCAAGGAGCCCCGGTAGTGAAGTGGGCTGTGAGTTGGCCAGTTAACCGCAAAGTTGGCAGTTTGAATGTACCGGCTGTTCGACAAGAGAACATTTTCCGCCCCTGTAAAGATTTACAGCTTTTGAAACCCTGTACAGGGTTGCTATGAGTTGGAACCAATTCGTCGGCACACAGCCACCACCACCACCAATAACAACATCATAATTGTGGAAACACTATAATGAGGGTTATTAAACCACTAAGATTTTCATGAATACGTAAACATTTCTGTCCAAACAAAATGCTGGTGATAAATAATTTTAACAGTCAGTAAAGAAGCTTTGCTGGAAATTCCTTTGTAGCTTAGCTCTGATTATAAGCACTATCATGAGAATCTGGCATCATTGAGATTGATCACTGGGGCACCATGAGTCAAAGACTATAAATGGTTCTCTGATCTCTGACTAAAGGCAAATAGAGAGAGATCTGTGGAATAAAGGTTGTTTTTCCTGAGAAAGGAGTGGCATTATCATGTGACCCACGGTACCTGTCTTGACCAGTCCATGGCTGGCTTCCTACCTGTCTTGTCTAAGCAGCAATGCCGTCAGAGTAGATACCATAGTTGCCAAACAGCCAGTGAGAGTCAACCAGGGGTTCTGGACCAGAAGTCCCACCAGAATCAGGATTCCACTGATAGGGTTGCTGACAAACACCACTTGGGATAGGCCCCGAAGAACCCAGTCGATGAATTGAAGTATCACAGGCTTGTCTGTAAGAAATGAGACGGGCATGCCTGAAGACAGGGCCAAGGCTGATGATGTGTCTTCCCAACACCAGAACCTGCCCTGAGCAAAATCAATTACCTGGATGAAGGTGAAACCTAGTTTTGATGTTCCTTTAAACTTTTTCTCTCTGAATCCTTTGCTTCCTCAGTGGCACCCAGAACCCTGAAAAAACCCTGAAACTATTTATGCTTAACCCATTCCTAGTACCTAAACGTATGCCCCTGGCTGCTGTTGTGTGCTACTGAGTCAGTTCTGACTCATGGCAACCCTGTGTAGAGTTTCTGAGGAACAGCTGATGGGTTTGAACCACCAACATTGCAGTTAGCAGTCCAGGCTTATCCTACAGTGCCACACCAGGACTAGAACCTTCAGAAAGCAGTGAATGCACTTATTTAACATGTTCAGAAGTGCAGACTCTTAAGTCAAAGAAACATATTACTTCTAGCAAAATTTCAGGTGTTAAGTATAGAAATTATAGTGTTTCGCCAGATGTTTTTCTAGAATATGAGCAGGTCCCTGGCCCCGGCCACTATCTTCATTAAAATAATTAAAGATGTTTACTGGACAGTAGACGGGGGAAGCAGATAAATGGGGAGGAGAGAGATAGGTAAAAAAGGTTAGGTCATTTAACAAAAGGGGTAAGTAAAAGGGTGAACAATCCATTCCCCCAAAGCTGCTTCTCCCATCTCTCCCAGGGATGGAAGAGAAATACCTTTTAGCCAGTTAGCAAATTCTTTCATATCACCAGTGATGTAGCTAAGCGCCTTGGGGAGTTTCCCTCGACATGGTGCAACCTGGTTTTCACCATGTTCCCCTTTAACAATTGTAGGAGTGTCTTCCATGGCTGTGTCTTCCTCCAGCTCCTTGAGGAAAGAACACAGAGCTCATAAATGTCCTGTATGACAAACAGTCCAAATTGGTCAGCTTTAGGGTTGGTCACAGTGGCTAGAGAGGATGAGCTGACAGACCCTTCATCATGACCATGACGTCCTATGGGACCAAGAAGGCATCATATTCCTCTTGAAATATCAGCTCCAAATCTCTCACCACCCTTGTCATCAATGTTGTATCTAATGTGACTAAGAGATGGTCCTGTTCTTTTTATTTATAAAATTCCATTTCTAGTTCAACAAACATTTATTGAAGACCTGCTTCCTGTACTCTCAGAGCTCAGTTTAGGGGAGGAGACTGAAAGAGTTCATCTCCATATAATGAGTCTGTAATAATTCAGAAAGAGCTAGAATCAAGCACTGATTTTCATGCTCTCAATTAGAGGAGCAATATATCAGGTTGCAAAATGGTCTGCTCACTCATGCAAGACTACTTTCAAGAAAAGCAACCTTACAAAGTAAAAATTTCATTTCCAGCCCCCCGCCAAAAGGAAAAAAACGTTTTATTTTTAAGAATAGTTCGTGTGTGGAGAAGAGTCTAAGGAAACTCCCTCACATACTCTCTCCAAGTGAACTATTATTTGAAATTGACTTTATATCTTGCAACTGCTTCAGATACTTGTTACTTTTGGAATTCGTTTTAGAGATGTTTAAAGTTAGGCAAGAATGCTATTCCATAAAGGCATAGAAACTGGGAAGGGTGGAAGTGGGCAAAGTTGTTGACAATCAAAGACTTGTTATATAGGACTGCATATGAATGCAGAGGGAATCATTGTAATCAGGATGTTTTGGGAAAAGACTAATGTCAGCCATGACTTGTGTTTACTAGAAGGCTACTCACTTCTCATGATAAGTGTATAACAGGAAAATAACAAAAGCACAAGAATAGGTACCCTACAGACAAAGAATGAATGTTTCATTGTGCTGCTGGTTAATACAAAAGAATACCAATGATGAAATCCCAGAGGGAAGCAAAGGGTGAAGGGCAATAGCAAAACCACCTTGAATATGCAAGAAAACCCAAGTAAATGTGGCCATGTTAGTGTGAAGTAGGAAACACCAAACCACCAGGTCCTGGAGGTACACTTATGGGATGCTGAGGCCATAGTCACATAAGACACAACCAGACCCAGGAAATGCCCAAAGCCCATGCAGATAGACCAGCTCATCTTCTCCCTGTGGCCAGGCTGTGAACAGGGGGTCCTCATGGCTAGTTTTGGGTTTTGGTCCCCTCATTGTTCCTTTCACCATAGCCTACAAATATAGCTATTAACACATATAAAATAAAAGCTAAGTCCCAACCCTAGGATTTGCTCCCATTAATCCCAATATGTAAATCAAATGTGGGAAGCTGATTTTTAGCTGATAAACAATTGCACTTCAATTATAAGACTTCACTGCCCAACGATTACCCTGGTTTTAAATAGTAACACAGAAACATGAAATCTACTGTCATCAAGTGGGCTGACTCAGACTCACAGTCACTCTGTATAGGGTTTCCGAGGCTGTAAATCATTATGGGAACAGAAAGCCTCTTCTTTCTCCTAGAGTAGCTGGTGGGTTTCAGTCGCCAACCTTTTGATGAGCAGTCCAGTGCTTATCCTAGTGTCACAGGCTCTTTTTTTTAAAGCAGTGTTGTCATTGTTAAATGCTGTCGAGCCGATTCTGACTCATAGTGGACTTTTAGTGTGGCGCTGCCAGTTAATGCGGTAAACTGCAAAGTCGGTTTGGGCCGTAAAGGCCGCAGTCCTAACTCACCAGCTGTTCCTCGGAAACCCACCTGTACAGGGTCGCTATGAGTCGGATCCCGATTCAACTGCACTTAGCAACAACAACAGGGTTTTCAAAGAGTGGCTGGTGAGCTTGAACCACCAACCCTGTGACTCACATCAACCTTGTGGTCTAGCACATTATCCAGCAGTGCCATACGAGCAAAACCATTAATCGTTACAGAAAGTATGAGCTATTTATATATTTATATAAGGTACTTTAAGGAGCTCTGGTAGCGTAGTGGTTACGAATCGGGCTGCGAACCTTAAGGTCAGCGGTTCGAAACCACCAGCTGCTCCGCGGGAGAAAGATGAGGCTTTCTACTCCCGTAAAGATTTATACCCTCGGAAACCCTGTATAGGGTCACTATGGGTCGGAACCGACTCGACGGCACTTAACAACAAACATAAGGTACTTTACACCAAGCCAATTTCCTCTTTGCAGAACGTTAATGAGTATTTCAATGAATCTTTTCGTTAAGAATGTCTTAAACTTGGAAACTACCGGAGACCAGGAGCCAAAACCAAGTCTAAATGGAGCTCAGCTGTCCCCCTGGTTCAGCCTCTAAAATGGTTTGAATAAGTAAACGATTAGGAAAATTTGCTTTGTACTTCACGATCTTTCTCAGTGATGGCTAGCTAGCATTAATTTTCAGATTATCTCCCTCTTTAAACCTCTTCACTGAAACATTACTTGGTAAGTTCCTTCCTCAGTTACAGTGACTTATTTTCAAAATCACCTTGAAGTTACGAGAAGCATCAAGCACCAGTCCAGATGTTGATACAACTACCTGGAATTTCTGCAGGTGGGTATAATAAATCCTAGTGTGGTGCTGTGGGTGAATGCACTGGACTGCAAGGTCGGTTTGAACTGAAAGGTCAATGGTTCAAGCTTCCCAGTAACTCCTTGGAAACCCTATACAGAGTTGGAACCGACTCAACATCACTTAACAACAACAAACAACAAAGAGGCAGAATAATATGAAAATATTAAAATGGTTTTTTCCCCATAAACTATGGAAAGTATGAGCTATTTATATAATGTGCTTTACTAGGTATATGGAGCTCTGGTGTGGCGCTATGGATTAATGCGCCAGACTGCAAAGTCGTTTGAACTGCAAGATCGGCGGTTCACGCCCACCAGGTGCTCCTCGGAAACCCTATACAGGGTCGCTATGGGTCAGAACCGACTCGATGGCACTTCACAACAACAACAACAACAACAACAACAACTAGGTCTATGGGCTCTTATTCCAGAATAAACAAACTCATGCTCTCACAAATCAAGCACATATTTACTGACAGGGTTTTAAATACTCTACCACTTGAGAGATTTTGTAGATACAGATAGGAAATCCAGTAATAGAACTGACCAGACATGACTGAGAACCTGACTGGCCTGAGTGTCCTGCTGAACCATCCACAGTTAAGTAAGATCAAACTACTTTCGTCCAAATCCACAGCCTGGCATGTTGTTGCTGTTAAGTACTGTTGAGTCAGTTTCTACTCATAACCTGAATAGGGTTTTTGAGGTTGAAAGCCGCATTTTTCTCCTGTGGAGTGACTGGTGGGCTAGAACCACCAATCTTGTGGTGCACAGTTCAGTACTTATCTTATAGAGCCACAGCCTGGCATAGAGATGGCTGAACCCCATAGTCTGACCTAGAGAAGGCTTCTGGCAATTTGTGTCTCCAATACCCAAATCCTGGGATGGGTTGTATGGCTGGGACGCCCTAGGAAAGGGGTCTCCTCATGAGAGGGTTCTCTTTACTACTCCAGGAGAGCTGATTTCTGTTGTAGAACCCCATCCCCACCTGTTAAGGAGTTGATTGTGACTCATGGAGACCCCATGCGTGGCAGAGTAGAACTGCTCTTCAGGGAGTTTTCATGGGTGTGACTTTTTGAAAGCAAATTGCCTGATTTTTCTTTTTCCCCCTGAGGCACCTCTGGGTGGCTTTGAACTGCCAGCCTTTCAGTTGGTAGCCAATACTTAGCCGATGGGACTACCTAATCTCTGGAGCCTCTAGGCGCACTGACCACTTGCTTCACTCTTTGAAAACTCAGTTATGAGAAATGAGTGGCTTTAAGTTGTTGATTCTAGAAGTTTCTTTGGCTGGAAAATTTGCATTTCCTTAGGGAACTTCAGAATACTCATTCTCATTGGGCTACTGAGCCAGGACCTTTCACTGATGGAAACACTTCAATCTGAAGAAGTAGGCCACTTCATCTCAAGACAGAAGAGCAGGCAATCAAGCAAAGGGGGGAAACGAACACATTAGAAAAACAATCACTATAATTCTGACTCACAGTGATCCTGAAGGAAGGAGCAGAACTGCTTCCCTTGGGCTTCCTAAGTGGTAAATTTTTACAAGCAGAGAGGTCTTTCTCTCTGAGTGGCTGGTGGGTTCCAACCACTGACCTCCCAGTTAGCAGCCCAAGCTTAATCCACTGCACCACCAGGTATCACCCAGGCTGTCTTTCTAGCTTTACCATGGCTGTCAAAACTTCCTAGCTCAACCCTCCACCATCTAAAACCTCAAGACAGATACCATGTAAGTTACTGGACGAAGATCTCAACCACAGCCGCACCCGCTCAGCAGAGCTTGTTGACCCTTGATTCCCAGGCTTGTTCAGAAAAGGCACACCAGTTAAGCGCCCACCGCCGAGGTTCCCCAGTGCTAGAAGCTGCACGAAGGTATCATACCTGTTCCTCAGGCCCATAGGCAAGGGCCAAGCTTAGCCGGCCAAAGCCTCTGCGCGCTGCCTCACCGGCTCTATTTCCAAAAGGGTCCGTCCAAAGAGGACTATGAGGGGCGTCACCAGCGCCGCCAATCAAAGACTGTCCATTCATCCTTCCTTTCTTTCCGTACATGATAAAGGGTAAAAATATGTGAATCAGCAGGACGCAAGATGAAAGACCAGGGAGACAGGAGTGTGCCCACTGGGGGGAAAGGGGAGGGGGTGGGTCCCGATGAAACGTAGTACCGATGGAGACCTCTAGGGGGCACTGCGGCCACTATCGGCAAAGAGATCTTCAATAGTGGTAGTAGAAAAACAACAGAAAATGTTCCGTGGCATTTTTCCATAGGCAGGAGGTTGACAGGTCCGAAGCCTGTTCCTTCATCTCCCTCTCAAAGCACTTAAGAGCAAATCGTTAGGGTTCCAACTTGGGGACCAACACCAACACACAACAAGTTGGCCCAGTCTTGTTCTTTATGAAATGTGAGAACAGTAAGCAGTGGTCTGGGTTCCATTATCTGTAATAAGATACTAGCCACACTTTAAGTGAAACAAAACCCCCCATCCAAGACTGCTAGGTGACATTTTTTCTTTTATCTGAATAAGAATTCTTAAATATTGGAAATTATCTTATTAATAGCGAATAATGCTTGGTTGAATCCTACAAGTCAAGTAGCTTTTTATAAGGGGTTTTTAAAAACAAAAATAAAAACAAAAAAACCTCCATTGCATCTAACGATGTCCTTCCTTCACAAGTTTCAGAAAAGTTCTATGTGTCATATTCCCCACCCCACCCCTTAAAAAAATATTTTATTTCATGTTTACTCTCTTCTGTTGGTTTGGTATGAAGCTTAAAAACATATACTCTACCGGAGTGATGCAGAAATATCCACATTTGAAAATTATTTCTGACGTGTATTAGGAAAAAAAATGTATGAGTGTATATTTATTCATGGTAAATGATCAATCTAGTTGCCATGTCCACAGCTGTCTTCACGACCCTGAGACTTGAAGAATTAGACAGTGCGTGACCAGCACTACCAAGTGTTCTGAAAGGGATCACATTTGATGGTCCTATACAGAGTAGGGGAAAGGGGGAAGAAGTCATAAAAGAAATAAGGCTTTCTGGTCAGATACAGACTGGTAGAACCCCGAGACGATTGCCATTTGTCATCCTTAAGGTCTGGAACTGAACTCACCCCTGGGGCTCAATTTTCAGCCAAACAGACAGGTCTATAAAGGGAAAAATAGCACTAGTGAGGTACAGACACCTTAGAGTAATCAACTATATGAGATCAAAAAGGCAGTAGTTAGGGAAGGACAAGGGTTAGCCAAGAAGGAGGAATGGAAACAGAAACAAAGGAAGGAAGTGGGGGTAAGTGGCGCTATATTGTGGGGTTGCAATCAATCAGATGAAATAAATGTGTACACATTGTTGACTGTAGAACTGATGTCCAGCTCTGTAAACCTTCACTCAAGTCTCAATAAAAAGTGAAAAAATAATGTTCCGTTTAAGGATTGGATTATGTTTACTTTTGTTTAATGAAGAACAGTATTAAGAAACGGAATGGTGGGACTGTGTTTTTACACAAGGTTAAAAAAAACACAACAAAGTAGAAGAATCAAAGAAAAATGGAAGAAAGAGGCAAGCGAGGACTGTCACATTCTTTCAGTATAGACGTTCCCCGACTTCCTCCATCATGTGCATCTTGGAGACCATATTTTTGAGCTCAACGCAAACATTTCCTTAGAGTTCAGGGTAGAAAAAACTTGAAAATTTTGAGAGTGAGAAGGAATTTTAAAGTTGGCAAAGTTCAACCATTTACTGTATAGAAGAGAAAACTGAGGTGCAGAGTGGACCCCTGAGTTCACTCAGCAAGCAGCAGGCAATCAGCCTTTGGATGGTAAACCCCGGTGTTTCTTGCCTTCCAGTGGGGGGCAGGTAAAGTAATGCTGCCCAAGAGTCTATTCAAATCCACAGTCAGTGAGGGAGCAGTCATGTATGCCAGGGTCTGCAGTGGGGGCTAGGGCTCAGAGACATAATGGGCATAGCTTGTCTTCATGGCCACCTTGCAGTAAAGTTGGGTGGAGTAATCCATAACTAAGAATGGGCTCAGCCTGTCCCTAGTTTTACCCTGTGCACTTACCAGAGGCTTTGACTCTTTTGACCACCAAGCATGTCGCCATGCCTCAAGTGAGCCTCCTTCTTCTGTAGTAGTGCCATACCCACCACAAGTCCTGTGTGTGCCGACACCTCTACCCCAGGCCTATTCTGGAAGCTACATTTGGTAAGCGTTTCCAGCAGGAGTCCAAATGCACTTTTTACAGCACAGACCACTTAGTGCTCATCATTTTAATACAAGACAATATCAAGATTTCAGTCCAACAAACATTCTCTATTTTATTACACAACATAAAACTCATTCTTTTGTCAGCACATAATCGAAATATATGCAATTGAAAGGCTTCTATTGTCTGTACCTCATAATTACTTTGAAAAGTAAGAGAATCCTTTGGGTATCACTATAAAAGAAAGTATTCCAACATTCGCACTCTACCATAAAAAGGCTTACAGTACTGACGCTGATTTGGTACTTACAATAATCTTTATTTTAAGTAGTGTTTGATTTTTAAGTGGCAGGAAGTGTTCCGTGTTCTTTAAAGCTGTAATCAGAAACACAGAAGATACGGTCAGACATTCCTGATGAAAACACTCCCCTCCTTGAAGCCTGGAGGTCTGAATTCCACCTGCCAGAAAGTCCAGCTGCAAAGAAGCTGCTAATTCAGTGATTGTAAGGAGTCCTGGTGCTGTGCTGTGGGTTAATGCGCTGGACTGTAAGGTCAGCTTGAATCACAAGGTCAGTAGTTCAAGCTCACAAGCCACTCCTTGGAAGCCCTATACCTATAGGGTCGCTATAGGTCAGAACCTACTTGATGGCACTTAACAACAACAACATTCTCCTGATGTCCCAGGGTGGCACAGTTTGTGTTCAGGTGGTAACCAAAAGGTAGGAGGTTTGAGTCCACTCAGAGCATCCAGGAAGAAACGGTCTACTATCTGCTTCCCTCAACACTGGTGGTGATGGTGGCTGAGTGCCATTGAGTTGGTTCTGACTCAAACCCTGTATAGGGATTCTGAGACTGTAAATCTTCAGTCTCATCTTTCTCCCACGGAACTGCTGATAGATTCGAACTGCTGACCTTACTGTTAGCAGCCCAATTTGTAACTCATTATTATGGTACCATAGTGGTTATGAATCAGGCTGCAAACCTCAAGGTCAGCAGTTCAAAACTACCAGCTGCTCCGTGCGAGAAAGATGAGGCTTTCTGCTCCTGTAAAGATCTACAGCCTCGGAAACCCTGTTCAGGGTCGCTATGGATCGGAACCGACTCCATGGCACTTAACAGCAACAACGCTAGCAGGGCTTTTTCCCCTCAAGATTCTGACTGACAAGAAAGCCTCATGGAGCAGTTCTACAATGTACCACAAGGGGTCGCCATGATTCACGATCAACTCAATGGCACAGTCAACAGTAACAAAACTATAATCTCTTGATGGGTCTTCTCAACAGACCCCCTTCAGCATGGTATCACAAGAAGACCCCACAAAGCTATATCTTCTTTTGAGTCCTACATGGTGGTGCAACAGTACCCCATCTTTACTCAATTATTTCAGTACATCAAGTGGACATCTTGCCGCATAGCCTTTTCCACAGAGGGCTACAAACGCTGCTTCCAAAACCATGAAGAAACTCACTACATTTTCTATTCCAAGAGATATCCCCGGGCTTTGGTAAACTGCTTTCTAGTCAACGAGAACTAGTCAGTTCCAACCATCTGAAACATATTTCTCCATTAAAAAAATAATAATAAAGAGCTCTGGTGGCAACACAGTTAAGTGCTCAGCTACTAACTGAAGGTGGGTAGTTTGAAGGTACCCTGGCAATCTGTTCCCATGAAGATTAGTCTTGGGTGCCATGGAGTCAATTCCAACTCCAAGCCATCCTGCAGGGCAGAGGAGAGCTACCCACAGGATAATGGCGACAGTCAAGAAAATCTTATGGAGCAGTTTTGCTCTGTCTCATAAGGTTGCTTGGGTTGAAAATTGATTTGACGGCCCCTAACAACAACAACTAACAAAAGGGGGAAAAGAGCAGAAAGTTAGTGACGATTAAGAGGAGCCTCAAACAAAGCAGAGCTGGAAAAGGCAAGAGGCGGGTACTCACCCTGTGATCGGCTTCCCGGTGGCAGACAGTGCTGATAGAAAGAAGCCTGCTGAGAGGGCTCAGGAGGAGATAGTGTTGGGCGGGAGGCGCCAACGCTTTTATACTGGAACCCAGCTCTGCATATCTATGGACGGCTTTCCCCTCCCACTTCAGGCACCGGGAGCCAAAGCTAAGCCAGGAACTGGTCCCTAGGCTCCCCTACCTGTCTCTGTCTCTCTTTCTTCTGGACACGGTGCCAACCTTTTGCCATCATCGTACGTATCCACGGCGTCCCCGGGGGTCTTTGCTCAGCAATAATTTTACTCCCGATCCATCGGTTTCTTCTAGCCCCTAGCCTCACCTTCAAATATTTTAAAGAAAGATTTACAACGAGAAAGGATCAACATAAGATCACTCAAACTGGAAACCTAGGGCTAGGTGCTGCAGAGTGGACCCTGGGGCGAATTTTCTTGGTAAGTTCGTTGCAAGTGTCAGAATCCAGTAAGATTCCCAGGGCGTGTTAGGAGGGTGGGGGTGGAGTGGGGGTGGGGGAGGGAGGTGTTTTCTAAACGCCAACTTGCCCTTTTCCTCAGTCAGGAGAGAGCAGAGATAGAAATGTTTCCTTGGGACGTCCCAGTTTGTAGGTGAGAATCCCAAATTAAACGGCTGTCTTCAGGAGGCACTCCCATAGCGGGTCAATCAACACTTAAATAAAAAAATCCCTTCCATTCCCATTCTGCTTAAATTTCAAATTTGTGGCATATTCTGTGAAGGCAAGAATTTAACTCAGTACGCATCTATGTGCACAGAATTAAAAAAAAAGAAGAAGAAGAATAAAGTACCCCCTACAGCCGCATCCTGCCACTGCCTGGATGCTCCGATAGCCCTTGTCGGTCTTCACAAGGCG